TTTAACTCTTTATAAGTTTTAAGACTTATTTTACTTTGAAATTTTAGTTTTTTTGAAAAATCAAAAATCGATCCAATCCAAACAGAATAAAATTAGATTGGACTAGGATGGATTTTTATAAAAAATCAAACCGAATGGATGATTAAATGATCAAACCGAAGGAATTGGATCAAATAATTTTTGTTTCAAAATCGGTCTAATCTAGACTGAGAACACCCCTAGTATCAACCCATCACAAAAAATAATAATAAAGAATATATATATAGAGACAGGATCAACTTACACCGGTGTAAGAGTAACAACTCTTACACTCAATCTTAACTGTTGATTTCCGTCCATCAAACGACTACAATTAATTAGATTATTTTCATGAATGAATTATTAATTATAACTGTTAGATATGCAAAAATCAACGATTAAGATTGAGTGTAAGAATTATTACTCTTACACTGGTGTAAGAAGATCTTGCCCTATATATATATATGTGTGTGTGTGTGTGTTTGTGGGGCAGGATATTCTTACACTTGTGTAAGAGTTAGAAGTCTTACACTCAATCTTGACCATTGATCCACTTGTATCCAATGGTTCACATTATTAAAAAATTAGAGCCCTTAGATATAAATGGGATCAACGGACAAGATTAAGAGTGTAACTTACACTGGTGTAAAATGATCCTGACCCTATATATATATATATATATATATATATATATATATATATATATATATATGTAACATCCCACGTAATTAGGAAAAATACATAAAGTGCTATGAGGAATTTGGATGCATGAGTGGAATTCGAATGTTGTTAATACATGGATTGTTGCGAATTATATGACTATTTTCCATGAAGTGGAATTAATTCAAGTTAGGGAATTATTTGAATTACCATGGTAAGTGAGTCTTTAATTTAGACATGTGAAACTTTAGTTAAAAGGTATAAGAATAAATTAATTGGAACATATAACAAGATTAAAAATACTTAAAAGACTTGGGAACTTATAATTCTATGGGTTAGTACCTAAGTTAGTAACACCATTGGGTTTACATATTTTTGGTTCCCTTCCATGTTTTGGCCGAAGCCTAAGGGCCTTAAGGAGTGCATTAGATCAGCCCAAAAACCCTTTCCTCAATCTTAACTAATCTCTACTTAGCCTAAGAGAATCACGATCCACTCCTCATTGGCCCAAATGCACCACTTGGCAAACCCTATCCTTGTTTCTCCTCCACATGTGCGCATGAAGGGGGGGGGGGGGTAGGGGTGCCACAAATTCTGACCTTGCTTGCAAATTGTGGACTTGCAAGTCAGCCCTAGACTCTTCTTATGTTGACATTATCTTAAGACTCACACAAGGCAGCCCTTGGTAGGCTAGCGATCAACACTTGGCAGAATTCAGCCACTTGGCCTTGCCTTGTTCCATGCTCTAGGAAGGATGAAAAAGCAATCTGATTGCTTATAATTTTAGCTAAGAGTATTCAGCTTCCCAACATGCATCCAATGAACAAATGGAGGTCAGCTTGCATGTATTTTTATTGGGCAAAAATGCCACATCTCTTACACCTTTTTATGCACCCCAGAGAGAGTAAGAACCTAGGCTGTTTTTCTGATCCTGAATGCTTTTAAATCAGCCATTCCATCTCCCTTCCTTCCCTACTGATGAACCCTTAGTTCATCAGGTTTTTAAGCATGAATTAATATCAATTTGTGTGATTAAATGGATGGAAAAGAGGTTAATGTCCTGGAAATCTCTCAAATACAAGTTCTGAAGCTTATGTTGAAAATTTACATTGTTTTTGTAGGGAAATGAAGCTCAAGAAGCAAAAGAGAGAAGGAAGAAGATTCTGAAGAATGGGAAAATTCTAAGTGTTGGGCGCTAAAACGCCCAAAACTGAGCGTTTTAGCGCCCTGTTGCACAAAAGATGCTGGTGCTGAACATTAAAACGCCCAAAAATGAGCGTTTTAGCGCCTGAACATTAAAACGCCCAAAACTGAGCATTTTAGCGCCCAAGACAGTTAAAAGCAGTTGGGCATCCGTCAAGGTTGAGCGCTAAAACGTCCAGAAATGAGAGTTTTAGCGCCCATGTCAGTTTTCAGTTGTAATTTGTAAATTATAAAAGGACAAGGGGCCTTCACATTCTGATAGATTCCAGATCATCAGATCCAATCCATCATATCTCATTCTGACTTTTCCCCATCACACTAGGAGAAGGGAGATCAGATCAGATCTTTCATAGATCTGATCTGACTCCTCATTTTCTCTGACTTTCCAAATTCTTAGGACTTAGTATTGTAATAGTTAGTATACTTTCATGTAATTGTACTTGAAGATTGAAGACCCAACTATCATGACAATGGAGTTTGATTTTTCTTCTTCTTCTCTTGTTATTATTTGTATTATGTCTGAGTAGAGTCCTTTGTAGTCTGATTCAATGGAACTCAAGTTTGAATTTATGAATGGTTAATTAGATGTTTTGTTTATCTATTATGTGATTGTATGAAGTTGTCTTGATTAATTCTTCATGTTGAGGAACAGTGTAGAACATACATGTTTACATTATTTCTCTATTTTTGACAACTTCATCATCAGTGTTCTAGTAGTCAAGGGATTGATGCTAGGATTCTGATGTGATCTTAAGACCTTAGTAATTAATGCATGTATTAAGAAAGGAATCACCAAGGGATTGGGGTTTCTGATTAATGTGTCTATCAGGGTAGTAAGGGATTACATCTTGAGATGATAAGGAAAAGGTTGATCAACATCACATAGTAGATAATTCATAATGGAAATTGGTTCATCTATAAATTCATGTTTGAGGGAAAATGACATCTGACTACTTGTTTACATTATAATTTACATTTTCTTTATTTATCAAGTTTTAATTCAATTCAGTGTAGTTTCTGGTGACAAGAAATCTATGCAATCTATGAACTTTTGTTTGATTCAACTCAAGTACATATGGTTAGTCAGTGCTTGACACAAATCCTCGTGGGAACGATCTTTACTCATCATTTTATTACTTGTACGACTAGTACACTTGCTAGATTTGCAACACCTACCCAGGCGCTGTTTGTGCAGAAGAATAGGCTGAACAAATATATTTTGTTGAACCACCTCTCTTGGGCCGTGAATACCTTAGAAAGAAGAACAAGAATTCAACTCCACTTCACCCTTTTTCTTCTTCTAAACCATGACTTAGTTGCCTAGTGACACCTAGAGAAACTACATATAATCTTCCCCTTTTTCACACTGCAGAATTGTGGAGCTCCTTGGAGAATAACTAAGTTCCTGAGCTCATCTTTCCTTCCTACCTTGTTCGGCTGTGGGCACCAGCATTTAAGGAGGTGAGTTGTTTGCCCTCCTCTTATCCTTTTCTATTCACAAATTGATCATCATTGGATTATGTCTTGTTGCATGCGTAAGGTTCTGTTTTGGCGAAGCCACTAACTCCATTGTACGTTGCTAGGTGTGAACTTTTGGGACTTTGGAGAGTGGAAGCTCACTGTTTTTCGAGTTGAGCTCTTGAGGGTGGACACGGATCCGTAAGTAACTTTCAATCTCCTTGTATTCTTGTTGTTCGATCCTAGAGTATTTTAGGAGAGTTTGATTATCTTGTTATTATTCCATTCTGTTTGTGGGAAGCCCTTGACCGTTATTGCATGCAACCTTTAAGTAAGTTACGGCTAGAAAGAATTTAGTCCCTTAACCGTTGGAGGGTTCCCTTAAACTAGAAAGAATGTATAAATTTTTTTTATGTGCTTAAAGGTTATAGGCCGAATGTTAGAGCCTTTTGTTGTTCCTTTACGTATAGTAATATTATATAAATGAACTTTTTAGGCACATAATAATAGGCAGTAAACCGTTTATGTATATTGTCTAATCACTGTTATTGTTGAAAAAAAGAGAGAATAAAATAGGACAGCATGATATATGTTCTCTATTCGCACCTTGAGATTAGGGAAGTGGGAATTATATGAATGAAACCTTGAGGATTTTTCTGTACAAAAACCGAATCTGTTTGGGGTTGGAAGCCTTAAAATTATTCGCTGTTAAACGTCAGAAAATTTATTGTGAAGTCAGAATATTATTAGGAAAGGAAACAAGGTAAAACCGATTGAGAAATTAAGGATAAATAGAGTAATAACGTGTGCTGCGTTTGGGAATTGCCATGGAGTATAATTCTGACTTGTATGCTTTTGTTTAGGTGCGTTTAATTCTTGAGTGTGGACCTTTTCGCTGCTGCTTGGTAAATTATTTTGTGGCACACGAGGTAAGTTTCTGGTGGCATTACCTAATGTGACTATTAGCTAGCGTATAGAATTGTGAATTGTTGCTCACACGTGCCTTGGATTAATGTGCTGTCATATGCTATATGTATGCTGCCTATGAATGTGACAAGATGAAAAATTCTGTATGCGAAGTAATTTTTATGTGGCAGCTTGGTACGGAAAGTACATGAAATATATGCTATTATGATGATGATCTAGTCATGCATATACACCTCATAATTCATTTGTTTCTTGTTTGTGTGAAAAGCATATCATGGCATACATGCACGAATTTCATGCTGCTCATAGACTAGGATAATTATATAAATATGCATACGTTTGAGCATGCATCATATAGGCATCCCTTCGGTACCAGGGTATGGGACACTTGGCTTCCGTCCGCATAGGCCATAGTTGGAATTCACCTTTGAGGAGCCATTATGGAATATCCACTGTGTATGTTAGTACGTGCACGACGGTGCTATGAACGTACAAGGAAAGGGCGTTGTATACGCACTAACAAGGAAATGGCGTTATATACGCACTATTATGACTATTATGAATATACATGACCATGGCGTTATATGCACTAACAATGAAATGGCGTTATACGCACTATTATGAACGTATAAGGACTTGGGTTGTGTTCAGACGGGTTTTTCTCGACAAGTATTTTCCCAAAGGCTATGAGAAGAATGAAGCACACTGAGCTGTTGTCACTAAGGCAGGATAACATGACTGTTAATGAGTACATTGATAAATTCGGGCAGCTGATGGAATATGCCAATTTTGATCGGAACATCTATGACGAGGAATGGCAAGTGGAGAAATTTGAAAGTGGACTGCACCCAGAGATCCGCAAGCTCATGCTGATTACAGCTAATCGTACTCTGCCTGAATTGATTAATCAGAGTCGGCAAGCGGAGGAAATTATCAATGAAGCAAGGAATCTGTCTAAACAGCCGATGCAATCTCAGGGAGGAAGTAAAGTTGGCCGGTTCTTCAGGAGGATCACCGAAATGAATAGGGGCAAGGGTTCGTAGTGGCAAGCTCGGACTGGAAACTTCAAGAGGAATAATGCTCCTGGTCAATCATCTGCCAGACGACAGGGTTCCAATACTTGTACTAATTGTGGAAAGAATCATGCTGGAGTCTTTCGACATGGAAGCAATTCATGCTATAGGTGTGGTCAACCAGGACATTTTGCTTCTGATTGCCAACGGAATGCTAACCAGCCTCCTACTCAAGCTCGGGTGTTCACCCTTGATGCAAATGAAGCTCAGAAGTACCCTAATCTGATTCGAGGTAATGTAATTTTGAATGGCTATCCAATATCTGTTATCTTTGATTCTGGAGCATCAGGTTCTTTTATGGCGAAACACAATGCTATGAGAATAAGCATCACCCCAGCTCCGTTACCTTATGAGTTACAAATCAGTACTCCTACTGGAGGATCTTGTACTGCATCAGAAATCTACAGAGGGGTTATTTTGCAATTTAAAGGAAACACTTATACAATGAACTTAGTGGTTCTACTGGTATTCAATTTTGAGGTGATTATCGGGGTGGACTGGTTGACGGAGAATGGAATAACATTGGACTGTCCAGCAGGGAAAGTCATAGTTCCTTCGAAAGATGGTAATTTTCAGTCTTTTGCTACTATTTCTTTATTACAAGTTAGAAAAGAACTCCTTTAGGGAGCTGCAGGATATCTGTTGTTGATTGAGTCTGAAACTTCAGTTGACAACCAAATTCAGAATGTTCCTGTTGTGAACGAATTCGAGGAGGTGTTCCCAGATGAAATTCCTCGATTACCTCTTCATCGGGAAATTGAATTTCCCATTGAACTTATTCCTGGAGTTGGACCTATTTCCATTGCTCTGTATCGTATGGCACCTTTAGAACTTCGGGAGCTGAAGAAGCAGATAGAAGAGCTGCTGTCCAAAGAATTCATCAGACCCAGTACCTCTCCATGGGGTGCTCAAGCAATTCTGATTAAGAAGAAGGATGGCAGTCTGCGTTTGTGTGTGGATTACCGTCAACTGAACAAAGTGATAGTGAAGAATAAGTATCCGCTCCCCAGGATCGATGATTTGATGGACCAGCTGAGAGGTACCAGAGTCTTTTCCACAATAGATTTACGATCGAGATACCATCAAATCCGGGTCAAACCGGAGGATATTTCGAAAATAGCTTTTAGGACTCGTTATGGGCTCTACGAATATCAGGTGATTCCGTTCGGACTGACAAATGCTCCAGCGGTATTCATGGATTATATGAACCGCATTTTTTGCCCATTCCTGGATCAGTTTGTTATTGTGTTCATCGATGACATCCTGATTTATTCCCTCAAAGGATAACTGCATGCGGAATATTTGAGGATCGTTTTACAAATCCTTAAGGAGAAGCAATTGTATGCAAAGTGGTCGAAGTGTGAGTTTTGGCTTAGTGAAGTCCTGTTTCTGGGCCACATCATTTCAGCATAAGGTATTGCTGTGGATCTTAGCAAAGTTGAAGCAGTAATGAATTGGGAACGACCCAAGACTGTCACTGAAGTGCGGAGTTTCGTGTGACTGGCAGGTTATTATCGTAGGTTTATCCAGAATTTCTCTTAGTTAGTACAGCCTCTTACCCGTCTCACTCGGAAGGATGTGCCTTTTGGGTGGACCGATGATTGTGAAGATTGTTTCATGGAGCTGAAGAGTAGATTGACGAGTGCTCTGGCACTTACTATTCCGGACCCAACCAGGAAGTTTGAAGTATACTGTGATGCGTCCTTGAACGGACTTGGATGCGTATTGATGCAAGATCGTATGGTAGTAGCTTATGCCTCCCGACAGTTGAAGCCTCACGAAGAAAATTATCCTACTCATGACCTGTAGTTAGCAGCCATCGTATTCGCACTAAAAAGCTAGAGACATTATCTGTATGGCTCACAGTTTGATGTTTTCAGCGTTCACAAAAGTCTGAAGTACTTGTTCGATCAGAAGGAGTTAAACATGAGGCAACGGCGGTGGATGGAATTTTTGAAAGACTATGAGTTTGAACTTAAATACCACCCAGGTAAGGCAAATGTGGTAGCTGACGCTTTGAGTCGGAAGACTCTGCACACTGCAACTCTGATGGTTGAAGAACTTAAACTGTTTGAGGCTTTTCGAGATATGAATTTGTCAGTTGTCAGAAGAAGGCGTAGTATAAGGTTGGGCAGCGTGAGAATAGAGAATGAGTTACTCCGTAGAATTAAGAAGGCTCAAAGAGATGAGGAACTAGTCCATAATTTGGCTGGTATCCAAGATGTAGTATGGAATGAGAATTAAATGTTGAGATTCCAAGGACGGTTAGTTATACCGAGTGACGAATTGAAGCAAGAAGTTTTGCAGGAAGCCCATAAGGGTAATTATGTCGTTCATCCTGGATCCACAAAAATGTATCATGACTTGAAAACTTCGTTTTGGTGGCCAGGTATGAAACATGATATATCGGAGTATGTGGCTCGGTGCCTAACATGTCAGAAGGTGAAGTATGAACGTCAAAAACCTTCGGGACTTCTTCAACCTCTGGAGATTCCCGAATGGAAATGGTGAAAGTAAAATGGCCTTGAAGGCCGTAGCATGTGAGAGGGAAAAACAAAATTTTTCATATGCGAAATTACACATGCAATCAAGAATCATGTTTTATGGCATGTGATGTTACCTTTGTTTGTGAGTTCAAAACTCCAAGATGATCAGTGTTAGGTTTGAAGGGTTCAAACCCTCTAACGTTGATCCACACCACCCACGTCAAGATACAAGAATGCTTTCTTGAAAGCCACCAATTGACCACCACAGAGAGGCTTGCTATGCGCTCAATAGGTGAAGAAGGAGGCTAGGTATATGTGTTTAGAAGAGTGAAGTCTCCAGCATGAAAACTTCACAAGAGTGGGAATGGTATATAGAAGAATTGGCTAGGTTCTTTTGAAAAACCTTAAGGAGGAACTCACCAACTAGGCGCACAAGCGAAGGAGAGAATTAGTGTATCAAATCAGAATTTTTACTTTACTTATAATGAAAGTGGCGCACAAGTGAGTGAGACAAAGGTGGAGTTGTTGCAATTCAAAAATCCCAACAACCTCCCCTTTGAATCCTCATAAGACTAGGTCTTTATCTAGTCAAAATTCTGAACCAATGGTCATCATATGACCACCAATTCATGCGCCCCTATTCAGCCCAAAAAGGGTCCAGATACATTTGAGCTGTTGTATTCAAGTTTGAACCAACTAGCTTATTGATTCTCTAAACAACCAAATCTGATTGGAGCTTGTTGGTTTGACAAGATGACAATCATCTCCCACCAAAATGGCGCCCCAAATCAGCCCTTGGAGATCTCCATAGATCTTCTTTTGATACAAGGGATTTGTTCCAACAAAATCTCAGCTTATCCTTTTGTTATGAAATAACTTTTCATAGCCAATTCAAATTTGAATTTCAACATTTAAATTCAAACGTTCAAACATTTAATTCTAAATTCAAATTCAAATTTCAAATTCAAATTCAAATTTCAAATTCAAAATTCAAATTTCAAATTTCAAAATTCAAATTCAAATTTCAAAATTCAAAATTCAAAATTCAAAATTCAAATTTCAAAATTCAAAATTCAAATTTGAAATTCAAAATTCGAATTTCAAAATTCAAATTCAAAATTCAAAATTCAAAATTCAAATTTCAAATTCAAAATTTAAAATTTAAATATTTGATAATTAATTTAACTAATTAAATTAATTAGTAATGTCTTGGACCATCCAAGCCCATTAACAATACCATGCGCCCTCCCTTTTAGGTGTGCTTCCAAACTTCATCTTGAGCTAACAACCATTATTAGGCCCAATACCTTTAATGTTATATCATCATGACATTAAGGTGTTAGTGTGTGACCCATTAGGTCCAACATAGCCACTGACATAAATGGGCTCGGGCCCAACAAGCCCACAACCCATTTAATGACAACACAGAGCACTAGCAATACTTTGTTGCCCCAAAGCTAGTTAGATTAATGACTTGATCATCCTATTACACATATTTGGTTGCCGTATGTATTTCTTTTCATCTCGGTTACCTTCCCATAAAAACTAGGGTAAGGAAGCGTATCAACCCTTGCGGTTTAGGGTAAGCTTTATTCGAAATAGGGAATCTTCAATTTACGGACTCTAAAGGCATATCATCTCATGATCTCTTTTACTATGCATAGATTTCCGAGTCCCTGTAAATGTCATCCCGATTTCTCCGGTTTACAGATAACCTAATCTGTCACAGAGATTTGACGAATTCCTTCAGTTTATCACCCTAGCCCTGTGCTCTTTCAGGACAAGCCCAACAGTATACCTATGAGTCTCCATGTTTCAGGCAGACGAGGTATACAGTCAAAGCATGCCTTCTAGAACACAGTCTAGGTAATAACTTCTGGTCTAAGGAAAGACATACCCAAATATAAAGAGACTACTCTAATGATACTCTCTGTGAGATTTCCTTATAGAGTCTCTTTTGTGGGTCTGTTCAGTGCGAGCTATACCCTTATAGATCCACCCACGACTTTAGCTAAGACATCTCCATATCTGTAGCTCATGAGGTCTTTACCTTGCATCCAAATACAAGTAGATAAGTCGCGCTAGTCTTACCCGAGATCACTGATCCCCATTCTCAGTGTCTCTAGACTAGGAACATAAAATTAGGAATAAATATCCAGTATCCTTGAATCTTCATGATCGTGATCTCATCACAGATACTCAAGAGATACCTATTTTATTCCAAGGGGTTTATTCAGTTACTCATAAAAAATATTAACAGTAATATTGAGACAAAATATGAAATAGGATAAATATTGCTTTTATTTATTTGCGACAATACAAAGGTCCACATATGTCCTAATCTAATTAAAAGATTGTCTCTAGGACATCCATATACTAACAAATGGGACAGTATTGCCATGGATTTTGTAGTCGGACTTCCTCGGACGAGAGAAGGATTTGATGCCATCTGGGTAATTGTTGATCGGTTGACGAAATCATCTCACTTCTTGAGTGTCAGAACGACGTATAATACAGAGAAGCTGGCCAGGATTTATCTTCGGGAGATTGTGAAGCTGCATGGAGTTCCCACCAGTATTGTCAGTGATCGTGATCCCAAGTTCACCTCTAAGTTCTGGGAGTCTTTCCAGCGAGCTCTCGGAACCCATTTGAGGCTGAGCACTGCTTATCATCCGCAAACCGATGGCCAGACTGAACACACTATTCAGGTTCTAGAGGATACGTTGCGGGCATGTATCTTAGATCAAGGAGGCAGCTGGGACCAGTATCTTCCTTTGATAGAGTTTGTGTACAATAACAGTTATCATTCTAGCATCCGAATGGCACCGTAAGAAGTGTTGTACATGAGGAAATGTAGATCCCCGTTATGTTGGGTAGAAGTGGGTGAACGGTATATATATATATATATATATATATATATATATATATATATATATATATATATATATATATGGTTTAGTGAGTGTACAATGACTGGATATAAAATTTGGTCCAGTGCACTAAGTTCTCCCGCGAGAACACAGTTATAATAAATATTATAACTCTGTTCTCCTGGGAGAACACCATTATAATATTTATTGCACTATGTTCTCGCCGGAGAACATAATGCACTGGATGGTCCAGTCACTTTATTTTCATTTTTCCCCCCCACACACACAGATATATATATATATATATATATAGGTTTTATAATTCTCATTCAACATGAGAATTCAAATTTTCCTACACACCCTTCGATTTTCGTGCTGACATGGGTCCTACATATAATTTTTTCTAACACATGGGTCCCGCATGTTTTTTATCTCTACAACATGAGAATTGAATTCTCATTCAACATGAGAAAATCAAACTCCTATACATTAAATCGCTTTTGTGGAGTAAAATCTTTAAGGTTAAGCAAGGTCGTGTGTTTGTGACAATTTCAATTTGGCGGACGCAATCGTATGTTGTGCGCAATTTTGGATTCTTGCTATACCTTATAGAAGCCATTTAATATATATATATATATATATATATATATATATATATATATATATATTATAAACATGAGGGTCGTAGTCCAAAAAAAAAAAAAAAAAAAAAGAGTAAATACCTTTTTCGGTCCCTAACAAAAAATACGGTCTCCATTTTAGTTCTTTACAAAAAAAAAAAAATAGTCGGTTGGTCCCTACGAAATTCAAAATAGACTCATTTTAGTCTTTTTGAGATACTAATGTGGGTCTTTTTTGAATTTGCGAGGAACCACGATTTCAACTAAATAGGTCTATTTTGAATTTGTTAGGGACCCTGAGACTAATATTTTTTTGTAAGGGACTAAAGTGGGATCCGTGTTTATTGTTAAAGACCAAAAATAATATTTACTCAAAAAAAAAAAAAAAAAAGCAAAGAAGAAATGTATTTAATAACCATCGCACGCGATCTGCTCATAGTACCATGATCGGCCAGATAAAGCAACTGGATCCCAGACGGAGGCTCTTCACAAATAAACTGCTGCATGTGATTCGTTGGAGCTTAGTATGTGAAATTTTTCATCCAAGCACAAACATTTCCTTCTTTATATGTATGTTTATTCTAATAGTCCAATTCTTCTAAAACTATGCTCGTATGTGAGAGATCATATAATCCTTACGAGTTGCTGCACCACTATTGATTAGCACAATAATAACACGAGTTGAATCACTTTTCAAAATTACTTGCCTATGACCATTTCATTAGAAGCCCTCAAAGCACACCCAAAGCTCCGCTCTAAATGAGTTGCAAACACCAATCCTATAAACAAATTCACCGAGCCATTTTCCTTGCGCGTCCCAATAACCCCTCCACAGACAATAGGTCTAGGATTCCCACGTACAGCACCATCTGTATTTAGTTTGATGAAGCCTGTCAAGGGAAAATGCCAAACGATATCAGTAGTTATATTCCACCTATCTGAAAGCTATTTAATATTAAAAAGTCAAGAAAAAAATTTATCCTTCCCTTCTCGAGTAATTATGAAAAATTACTTATTAAACAATGTTTGTTGATAAAGGGTATTAAATGTTTATTTATCAGTACGCGTATCACACTTTTTGACAAAAGCCTAGCGCATGAATAACGCACTTAATTGGCAAGACTATTATGCATTGAACAGTTTGTTAGTTTTTTTTTTTTTTAAATTTATTTTAGCTTTAAATATTATTATTTTTTGTATAACTTTTGCTTCATGCGAACACTTTCATTCATGCCACTTCCTAGTGGTAACTGGTAATTATTTAAAGG